AGCTCGTGAGTATCGCCTGCCGCCGGGCGGGCCGGGCGCTCGCCCCCCGCCCCGCTCCGCGCGACCCGCGGGGGGTTCTGCTTGGCCTGGAGGGCGCGGGATGGGCGCGGGGGGGTTCACACGTGCGCGCCTCCGAGCTGGCTGGCTCGAGCGGGGTTTGGGCTGCGATCCCGAGAGGCGCGCGGCGCCCCCGAGGAGAGGGAAGGGCGAAGGAGGGGGCTTAGAAGGACCCCCCGAACTTGACCACAGTTTAAAGAGGGGGAGCAGCAGTCTGGCTCCAGCCATTGCGCCCCCATATGCGAGTCTTTGACCCGGTCACACCACACTCTTAACCTGGTTATCGAGTTAACCCATTTTCTGGGTTCACCCAAGTAGGTTGAATCCTAAGATTAACCAGCAGTATGGGTTCCGCGCCACACACTGTTCCTGAAAACAACAGTCACCAAAGGTAATGCTAGCCATGTTTAACCTGTGTGAATGCATCTATTGGATTAAGGGCATTGTGTGAACAGAACGTTCCTTCCCTTGTTAAGTTTCACAGGGTGTTTATCCTGGTTGTTTTGGGCCATGCAGGGCATCGCCCCTCGCCCACCTGAAGTAGCGGGTGTGGGTTTTTCAGCCAGTTCCGGATTTGGCCTCCTGGCCGTGCTGCACCTGTAGAACAGAGAACTGTATCACAGCAACTGCATTTGCATTAAGAGGACCTCATGTCATTCCTTAGGGTTGGGTTTGGCATGTTGTATGAACGCAGCCACTGTGGTTTGGAAATGACAGCTTTGGCATAATGCAATATGTGAGCCTAGTCATTGGGGTTATTCAGCAAACCATGGCGAAACAAGCCACCATTAGCATGTTAAGAGAATCACTCTCAGCTCACTATGAGGCTTGATGTCGCCCACATCTCCCCACCCGGTTACCATCACTCCTTGCTGTCAACTGTCCCTGTCCTCCCAAACCTATCCCCCACTTCCTCTTGTGTCCCAGTACTAGATGCCCTGGACTACAAGCCCCATTATGCTGCAGAAATTGTGAGGTATGGAGATCCAACACACACACAGTCATGGAAACATTGCTAAATGAGACAGGAGTAAAAGTGTTCAGGGAGTCCAGTTCTAAAGTATTAAACATGTTTTACTTGCTGAACCCTCAGACTAACTGATTGCATTTCAGAAATACTGCTGTTGAAATACAAGCATTAAAAAAAAACCCTCTCACCTGTATCTTACTGCTAAGAAGCAGCATACCTGGGTTTTCTGCACCGTGCTTCTGAGCTTGTATCCTTGCAAAAAGAGGTTATCTTTAAGAACTATCAATTTCCCAAGGTCATCAGAGATCTTTATGGATGAACAGGGATTTGTTAATCAGAAATTTTCAGCCCTAGCCAGCATCTTGGGTTTGGGGAATATAGAACAGCTTATAAAACCTTACAGGCCAGAATAATTGGAGATATCCAAAATGTAAGAAGAACCAGTGTTGCTCCCAGAGAGGCTGAAGCAAGCGCATTTTAATGTTGCACCAAATTTGGCTTCCATTCTGTGGCCCAGGACATCTTGGATGTTTTGCCATAGATGCTCAGCTGCTCCTCCCCACCCCCCACCCCCAAGGACTGGATCTTCCGCCTGGCAAGAAGAATATCACTCCAAATCAAAAAGGAGCTGGAGTGGGGGAGTTTTATCCCTTTGTCTTCAGTCTCAAGGCGATCAACACACAGTTGTATGAAACTTGTAGCCTTTGGGGAAGATCAAGACCTTGGTAAGGCTGGGAGAAAAAAGCCAGACCACTATTTTTTCAGGGAGAAAAAAGCAAAGTCAGTTTTGAAATAAACAACATTCGCTGAATTAATAGCAGCGAAGTTTGATTCCTGGTCATTTTAGGGCACATCCCTGTAGTGTTCTGGAAACGACAGGAGTGAGGAAGCGGTGTGCAACAGCAACCTTCAGAGGAATGAAAGAGAGAGAGAGAGAGAGAGAGAGAGAGAGAGAGAGAAAGAGGCCAGATCTTAGTCTAGGTTCTGAGTGGTCTCCCATCCAAACAGGGGATTGACATGCTGTTAGAAGCAGCTGGCTGTTGCAATTCTCCCCAGCTTATTCTGAGTTAGTATCATTCTGCAGTAGCTTTTCCCGGACAGGACAATTCATCCTGAAGCAGAGCTGCAAATGGATTACCCGTTTTTTGCAGCAAGATAGAGCCATGCCATCTTTGCTACAGGCAGGCTGTGCCCACTGGTGCCTCCTCAGGAACCAGTGCTCTGGGCGCTTCTTTCCAATCTGTGGACCCTTCGGTCAGAGCAGTGGCCCTTCCAGAAACAGGGATGTTGGGGAGGGGAATCCGAATGGTTTGGATAGCGGGACCTCTCCTTTCTGCGCAGTTAAAACGGCCATCTGTAAAAGTCACAAGGGCTCCCCAGGATTTAAAGATAGATGGAAGCTGCATCAGCTGCAAGAGGGGGAGATGCAGCTGACAGGGACGGGTCAGGAAACAGAAAATCACTAAACATTTTTGCAGACAGAGGAATGTCCAGCCACCACCTGGCCAGTTAGGAAATCCTAGATGTTTGGGGAAGGGAAAGAAAAGGATTGCAAAGGCATTTGAAAGATTTCCTACATCCCTGCCTGCGTCCCTGTCCCCAGAGGGGCAAAGCTGCTGGCCCTTTTACACGTCTTCTCCAGCTGTTGATTTCAGGAGGATGCTGACCTGGAGAACTTCAGCCTGGACTTAGAGACAAACCCAATCCTGGGTTCCCCTTTGGAGAATTTTTTTTTTTTACAAATCCTGTAATTGTGGGATCACCTTAAAATTGCCTGGATGGATTTGCCAAATGCCACTTGTGATCTGGGGTCTGTTCCTGCTGTTTCTGTGTTCATTGTGGGGGGAGGAAGAGGCTTCAAAACCAAATTCCCCCTCCCAGCTATGACTTGGGAGTGTTAAAGCCAGCAATGAAAATATCTTGCATTTTTTTTTCCTACCGATTCTCATTCAGGTTGATAAAAGAGGATTTGCTTTAGGTATTCTTTCAAAGGAGAGGAGAATTTCAGAGAGATCTTAAAGGGTCATGTTCTTGTACTTACTGGAGGAAGCTGAGGAATGCAAATGAATCTCCTCCAGCCTTTTATTGTGCCATCCCCTCTCCAGGGATCTGCACTTTCCTAGCATCTTCCTCTTCTATGAAATCCTAAGAGAAGACTTGTCTTTTCAATACGACATCAGGAATGGGAGCCTAGAACCTCTGAGATGTGGTTGGAGAGTTTCTCTCCCCCTTCCTCAAAAAAATGGGAGAAATCATGGATTTATTATTTTTTTTAATTATGACCAGCTGTCATGAACTGGCTGGAATGGCATGGTGTGGGTCAATGAAGCAACCTCAGGAGCTGGGGGGGAACTGTGTGTTGTTGCCAAAAGAATAGCATGGCTGTGTCCATGAAGTCTCAAGGAGTCATCTTGACTCAAAGGAGATGCTACCATTTTACTTGCCCTTACAAACCATTTGAGTCCCATTGAAAGCAGTGGATTTGTAGGAGGGACCATGCCTGGCTGGATTTGGAAGCTAAGCAGGCTCAGCCCTGGTTAATGTTTGGATGGGAGGCCACTGGAAAAGCCCAAAGCTGTAGGGTACACCAAGAAGTAGTAGTCCTAGTAGTTATCATCGTCGTCATCATCATCCCAGAAGAAGGGAATGCAAACCAGATGTTACAGTTGCCAAGAAAATGACATGGATGTGTCCATCAAGTTACTTGGATTAAGCTTGACTTGAAGGGGATTTTACTTATTTCTGGAGTGACTGAATGATCCATTCGGTCTAGAGGCACAGCCTTATTTCATCCCCAGCAAGACAGAACTGGATGAAAAAAAAGGCTACAACAGGAAATTGTGCAGAGATGCGCTGGGTAGCTCTAGTAGGGGCGAATTCTGCAAATGAATGAATGATCCAAGCAGGGCTGGGGACTAGGGCTGAGTTTTGAAGACCACTTCAAAATGCCCCCTCAAAATGAAGCACTCAGTTTCAGCAGCACCCCAGTTCAAGGAGCAGCCATGTTCCTCTGATCAGGATAATAAAAAGGGCTTCCTCAAGATTGAATGGGTCAATGGGAGAAAATCAACTTAGTTTTTCAAGTGCTGCTCTGAAGTGTTGCTCTGAATCAGATTAATCCAAAGATGCTTCAGGTTGGATCACAAGTGAGTCACACATCCTCTGTCAGAGAAAACCCAGCGCGGTGACTCATACAGGGACATATAGGCAGCTTCCCATTGTAAAGCCATAGGATTGTGTACCAGTCTCTGAGCATGCAATAGAGCAGTGTTTCTCAACTTTGTCAACTCTAAGATGTGTGGACTTCAACCCCCAGAATTCCCCAGCCAGCAAGGCT